TGTTAGCTCAGGGCTGATCTTCCTCACAAAAATTTAAAAAAATAAAGAGGGGTAGTTTCCCAAAGGACACGCAGAAGGCCTTGGAAGCCATAGATGCCAACGTGGCTGGGAGGAAAGGGAGGTGGGGAAATAGGTTTCCACATCTGTTAATGGAGGGGGACCAATACTTCACCTCTTAGGTTTAGGGCAAAGATTCAGTGAAATAATGCAGGTAAGGCATTTAGCAGACTGCCGCGTGAAGAGTAGGTGCTGGATAAATGGTAGCTATTATTTTAAAAATAGTAATCAATATTACTACTGCTGCTAATGAACGGTGTCTGTATGCCGGGAGGTAATGAGCTCCCCCACACAGGATGGAACCAACTTGAGGCCGAACAATCCCACCGTGGAAGCTCTTGCAATCTACATTCTGCCAGCTCAGTCCCCAGCTGGTTCCTCTTCAGGCTTCCGTCTCCAGATCTATGAAATGGGACGAGGGGATTGAATTAAACCAGAAAGTCGTTTTACGTGCCCCTTCTCATCACTCAGGTTGCAGGAAGTGTCACCTCCTCTGAGAAAGGCCTTCCCTGCCTACTCTTACCAAAATATCCCCTTTGTTATAATATATCATCCCAGGTTACTTTCCTTACAGTGCTTATTACAATCTGAAATCATCTATTTACTTTCTGTCTCCCCCATTAGAACGTCCGCCCCAGGAAGGCAGGGATGTCTGTCTGTCTTGTCCACTGCTGTGTCCCCACCACCTAGCAAAGTGCCGGCCACAGAGCAAACCCTTGACAGATATTTGTTGAACGCTCCATAACTACAAATCGTGCCTACTTTTCTGATAGGTAGTGAGTTCTCCATTCAGGGAAGTGTCCAAGGGGAAGCTGAACGAGCGTAACTTGCAATTCATGCTGCAAGACCCCACTCCAGATCCCCTCCCGGCCTCAGTTTCCTCCCGGATAAAATGGGCTTGTAGGGGGATGGACGGCTGGTCCAGCTCCTGCCTGCGATCCCCGCGGGGGCCACCAGGGGGCGCGGCGCCTCTGCCCAAAAGTCGGCCATCGGTGGACGCGTCCCGACGTGCCTGGAATATTCTGCGCCCCGCCGCCTTCCAGGCGCCCAGGAGCCGGGGAGGCTCGAGCGGATGCGGAGCGTCCGGAGCCGGCAGCCGCGCTCCTGGCCGCGCAGGGGGCGGGCGGGGGTGAGTCAGGCGCGCGCCGCCGCAGTTCTCGCGAGGGGACGCGCGCGGCCGCAGTTCTCGCGAGGGGGCGCGCGCGGCCTCGGGAACCCGCGCGGCGCCGCGTCCATTTTTACCCGAGCGCGGCTAAAAATAGTCGCCGCACTCGGAGCGGAGCCCGAAATAGCGGCCCCCAGATAAGGCAGGACGACTCAGCGCTTCCGGGGAGCGGAAGGGGAGGCAGCGGGGGGTGGGGGGGTGCTGGGCTCCGCCGTCCCCGCCCCGCCCCCACCGCGACCCCAGCCTGTCTGCCTCGCTGCATCCTTCCCCTCTCCCCGCCGTCCCCCCACATTCCCCACCCCCTGGCCCCCAACCCGTCCTCAGCTTCCCCTGCATCCTCATCCTGGACCATTGTCCCCTCCCCCTTTCCTAATCTTCATCCCCAGCCCCCCCCACCTGGTGTTCATCCCCATCGCTCAGCCCACCCATCCCGAAGCCCTGTCCCTGTTCTCCCCACCCAAAGCACCAACCTCCGGCCTCTCCGAATCTGCCTCTGCCCCCTCCCCCAATCCCAGTCTCAGCCCAACCTCTATGGGGGTGGGGTGGAGGTCACAGGAAGCCAGACACGCAGAGCGCTGGGGGTGAGGCTCTGCCTTCTTGGTTTGTTTCTGCAGTGGACCGGGTGGGCTTAGGGCTGGGGCTGGGTCACGTTCCTCATCCTGTGCCCAGGGTTGGGGCTCAGGCTGGGGACAGACACAGGTCTGTCACCAAGGTTGGGGTCTCTGTGCCTCCGGAGTCCGGGCGCAGCCTGGCACCTACTGTTTTGTTCACCCGTCCCAATTCCGCTAGGATTCTTGCCTCCCCTGCAAGTCAGTGATTGGATGGATATAACAGCTCCAGGCAGTGGGAACAGCCGGAGCCCTTCTCTCGCTGGGCCTAGGTCTTTTCGAAGGCACCTTCCCGTTCTGATATTCTGTGATCTTGCAATGCCTACTCCAGGAATCAGCCTCAAGGATCTTAGACGAGGCTCAAAGGCAACACTGCACCTTTCTAGTCTCTGAAATATCGCAGGTCAGAGGAACTGACCTGTCGTGTATGGCCCCAGAGACACATGATGGTTCAGTGAAAATTCAGGCAGAACTGCTTGGCTGTGGATGGAAGGCAGCCTCAAGTGGTGGTAAGGTCCCTGTCCCTGCAGGACACCAAGCCTCAGCCAGGCGTCCAGTTGTTATGTTGTCTGGATGGCTGGGGACTCAGCCACCAGGCAGAGACTGAGCTGGAGGGTCTTTTAAGGCAGGAAGAATCATGCCATTGGATGAAGAAATTAGGAGGCTGGAAAAGTCAGCAAGGAACAGACCAAACTGGCCCCCATGGGCTGTGGTGAGGAGCCTGGACTATTCCCCCAAGGGCACTGGGGAGCCATGGCGGGGTTCTAAGCAGGGGAGGGATAGGAGCAGGTTTATGCTTTCCTAAGACCTTTCTGGCTGCCTTATGGAGGTAAATGGAAGAGGGGAGGAGGCGGAGGAAGAGCCTGGGCCTAGGGAGGAATGTGAGGAGGGGAAGGAGGAGGAGAGGGCAGATTTGGGAGACAGGAAGCGGGAAAGACCAGACTTGGTGTCTGAGAGGCTGTGAGGGGAAGGATGAAGCTCAGGTCTCCACCCAGGTGGCAGGGTGGGTGGTGGCATCATCCCTGAGATGAGGCCTAGGAGGAGGAAGGAGCAGGTGGAGGTGGACGACGCCCAGATAAGTTTCAAAGTCAGTCCAGAGATGGTAATTTTTAAATAATAATACTTTTTTTATTTTGGAAAAATATATTGGCAAATACAAAAGAGTATGCCTGGAAAAAGTGAATTTCTCTCCTCCCTGTGACCCCCACTTCTCGCTGGTAATTCCTTCCTGTGTACCTTGCCCAATAGGATTCATTGAGCTCTCACAGTGTCCCAGCTTGTGCTAAGCCCGTGACAGACGTGACCTTGCTCACATCACTCTGCCCGATGTGCGGGCCCCACTGCTGTGCCCATTTTAGAGAAGTGAAAACTGAGGTGCAGAGATGTGTCCTTCTGAGAGCGTGACTTTGAACGCTTTTCAAAATTGAAGGCACAGGAGTGGGTGAGATCAGAGGGGGCAGGTCCAAAAGGGAACTGGAGTGGGCAGCAAGGAGTTCAAGGAAGGCTGCCTGGAGGAGGAGTGAGGGTAGCCAGGAAGGTGCCTTCCAGAGCCTTCTGATGAAGGGTTTGGATGGAAATAAATCACTCCTTTTGGGAGGGGGGCTGGGGTACTACTGGCACCAGGGCAGGGTCCCCTCCTCAGGCCCACGGGGCCCCAGAAGTGTTCATAGGAGACTGAGGCTGCTTGATGACATGTCAGGGACACGGTGAGAGCACAGCCGGCTGTTGTGACGTCTGAGTGATTCGACAACTGCCTGTTACGACCAGCC